GCCAGGAACCCGAACACCGTGCAGTCCACCTCGCTTGGCTCGTCCCCCATCAGGAACGCCTTTTCACCTGCAGAAAGCAGCAATATATTGTCAGCAAGTGTTGGTCAGAGATGAATATAAATACACGAAAGCGATAATGGAATTTAGGTACAAAGAAAGAGTAGCCATAATCAGTAACTTCTCACCAAGGTAAAGGGAGATGGCAGCCAGGTCCTTCTTCACCATATCTTCTACCTCCTCCGGGCTGTGTCTGCCGATTCCTTGGACTCTCAGGTCCCTCATGATTCTCCAGCGAAGCAAGGGCATCCCCAAGCGCATGTACAAGGGCACGTTCTGCATACTCCGCATGACAGCGCGACCTCGATCAAGCTCATATCGCCAAACTCGAAGACCCCTGCAAGCATACATGGCGTTACTCCATGTAATTACAGCTTTCTGTTGCCCATGTAGCATGGTGTTAAATAGAATAACTAATAGTATCAACAGCTTCCCTTCTCATTGTCAATGGTTAGGGTTTTTTATACTACAGTCAGGCAAAGAGCTGGAGAAACAGCCATGTTAATATCCCAAAAACTTACCAGCATAAATGTTCAGTCACCATCAGACTAATCGCCCGCGCCGCTGCTTGCTGCTCTGCTGTCAGTCTGCTGGTGAAGTCCTTGCCGTAGTGGCGCCCCAGCCTCTCTATGATGATCTGAGAATCTGCGATATCTTCCCCATTCCAGGTGACCCACGGGGATTTGTCCTTAGGTCCAGTCGGTTCCTCGTAGTCCAGCTGGAAAGAAAAACTTATCCTGGCAACTGAAATATTTAAGACAAACCACTGTGCCCCAAGGTCCGGGGCATTTGATCAGCTGTACCCAAGGTTTGTCATCATCACCTGGTAGGGGATCTTAGCGAGGCGCAGGTAAGTCTCTAGTCTGAGGACGAAAGGGGAGACGTTGGGGGCGAAGCGACTTTTGGGAAAAGCGTGGACGAGCACTACGTCCTTAGGCACGTCTCTCCATCTCTTCCTTATTAAGAAAAAAAGACAATAGTAGAAAAAAAATAATAAAGCAAATAAATTCCTCATAACGTATTACCTTAATTTACTTTAATATTTGATTCACTTGCCATCTCCACTACTCACCTTCTGTTTCTTTTAGCGATATAGCGGTAGAGCGAGAAAGCGCCGTAGGCCGCCACAACCGCTGCTGCAGCTTCGTACCGGCTTCTGCTTTCTGGTCTGTGAAAGCCGTCCGCTACCGACGTCAGTATAAGGTCAATGGATGGGAGCTTCATCCTCGCAGTAGTGTTTCTAGGGGGGGAATGCGAGTCTCATAGTAAAGCTTTGCAACTTCCATCCTTTTATATAATTGTTATTATGTATTTCTATTTCTATCAAGTATTGTGCCTACCACAAGCTTCAGTTTTAGAGAGGATGCAAACATCCAGATGTGTCTCTCATGATACGCTATATTCTGCTGACTTACCTTAATGCCTTTCGATAGATACGTTTAAAATGGATGTGATTCTGGGAAGATAAAGCTTATCTAGTTCTAAGTACAGTTGTCTGAAACAACGTAATTTAATGCATCACGAACTTAAAAACACGCACACTCAAACAGACTCATTATACTCTTACCTTCTGATAACGAATCACAGTGAAGGGTCTCGAAGAATTACGTCCTCTCCACGCAGCCAAGAAATACCGAGTGACTGCAGCCTCCTTAGGCTTTACACGCAGCATTCTTATCTTTTGTGATAACTGTATCTTAACGCCGCAAAAAAATGTTTAAGGCAAGTAATCACTTTTTCTTTTTGCTGTATACAACAGACAGGTATTTGTTAACAAAGTGTTTATCCTTTTTTCTGAAAGTCGTGTGTAAATATTTCATTTTCTCTTTTATTAATCATGTTTTCTTAAGATTTGCTACATTTTGTTAGGCATAAATAAAGTTGCCATTCTAACATTAATGGACAGTTAATATTTAACCCATTATTCGAGGATTTGTTCCATGTTAGAATGGTTATAGAGACAAATCAATCTATAAAACTTTAATCAACATTATTTATTACATCATTAACATTTCAACCTTGATTATCACAATGCCGCTAATAATAAACATGCCAAAAGATGGAGGGAGAATGGGAGAAAAAGAAGGGAGGAAAGAGAGAGAGGATAATGACACTAATTACTTTCATAATCATGATCATTCTCATCATCATCACCATCGCCACCACCTTGACCTCCGCAGTTAGCTCATCTTGGGCCGCTTCAGGCACTGGTCCCAGTCCGGCCAGAGTGTCTCCTTCACCCGTAACACGTATTCTTTCAGGTTCGGGTATTTCACTTGTGAATAAAAACAAAAATCACGCCTTATATGTATAATAATACATAAACACCCAATTATTACAATATAATCAGCACATAAATAACCATAAATGACCTAATACACAATCATAACACGCAATTCTTGTTTTGTTAAGAGGATAAGACAGTACGTTATACTTCACGCGC